GTATTTTATGTGTATGGGTTTTTTGCCTGTGTATATGTATGTGTACCACATGTGTGCCTGGAGCCTGTGGAGAACCGAAGAGGACACTGGATGTGCTGGAACCTGAATTATTGATGATCGTCAGCTGCCATATGAGTGCTAGGAACCCAATTCGGGTCCTCCACAAGAGCAAGTCCTCTCAACTGCTGAGCCATCTCGCCGACAAAATATAGCCATTTTTAATAAATAAAAGTTTCCATATGAAAGACTTGCTTTAGACAAATCACCATTCACTCTGCTGGGTTATGGAAGTGATCACAGATCATAGCCCTGGACTTCTAGAAGATAGGAATTTAGGGAAGTGACTTACATAAATATAAAAAATAACTATATACTCAAGATTATAATGCAACTGACCGTATTTAAACAGGCTTAAGAAAAAGGAGGAAGAGGAGATGGAGGAAGAGGAGGAGGAGTGGTAGAGGACTGGGAAGTGGGAGGAGGAAGAGGAAGGACATCTTGATAAAGGCCATGGAGTGACTCAGGTTAGGACTTGAGGAAACGGCGTCTTTTCAGTGAGAACATAGGATTCAGGAAGGAAGGTTATTTATTCCTGGTGGAGGAGGTGCCATAGGAAAACACAGTAGCATTCAGGTGCCGGGTCTACTCTGGGAGTAACAAATAGTGAGCATAAAATACCTTGTGGGCTCTCAAAAAATATATATCAGGGAATCAAGTAGGCAAATTATATCAAGGAGATGGATGATCATAAAACGTTTGGTTGAAATGAGGATTCTCTTGCACATGCCAGCTACTGGGAAGAAACAGCCACCCTCTAGAACTGCACCAGGAAATCAGGGCACATGGCACCCAGCAAAGGCTGAATTACAATGAATTGTCCCTGCTCAGCTTTTGAATCTCAGTGTAGACAGATATCGATTCTACAGCTTACCCTGTCCCATTAAGTCTGGATTAAATACTCCTTCTCATGTAGTTCCATCAGAACTCCGGTTTCCTCTGTCAAAGTATAACATCAAATTAAAGCCATCTGTTCCTTGCCCGGAACGTCTGCCTTGCAAACTCCACATGATCAGGCCTGCCTTTTACAATACACGGTGGATTCTCCAACAGCAATTGCTAATAACTTAACGTGTAGCATTGAAATCGAGATGCAGTGTTCTGAAGGTTGAAGAACACAGAGAAAAACGGCTCTCATCTTCTGTTTGATACTCTAGACTTCTTTTTTTTAAAACCTAACTTTAATTTTAGAAGCAGCATCTTGCTATTAACTTCACTGCCAGATTAAATCTCTAAGCATTAAGCACATGAAGGCACCACTTCTCTCCCAAACTGTTCTTGTCTGTTCTCTCTCCATCTCATCCCTCTCTAAATATCTGCTCCTTCATCTTCCTCCCCTTCTCGATCTTCCTCTTCTTCCCACCATTCCCTTCTTATTTTTAAATATAGCGCAGTCCACATGTTTTCAAATGCTTCACTTTAGCTAAAATTCCAACTATCCTTTTAAAAATTGGAGAATGAAATAACCATTCAGAGGGAAAGTTACACAACTAGTGATTGCCAGAGCAGAGACGTGAGCCCAGGTCCTAGGACTCCAAGTTCATGGTCATTAGCACACATTACACAGGATCCTCTCAAAACAGAGAACATGCATAATTTGATTATGCTGGCTCCTAACCTCCACCTACTCCCTTCTCCCAAATATCCACTGAATTAATTAGCCCTTTGATTAAAGGTATTTCAGTCAGAAGTCCTTAACAACTCAAGGGTATTGAAGGACAGACTTGGATGAACCCCCTAAAAGTTTATGCAAAATGCTGTGTGTAGTCTTTTGTGCATTTTTTTCCGAAGAAGAGTAATGTGCATCCAAACCTCAAAAGAACCATGGCCCCAAAGAGCTTAAGAAAAGCTTAAAGTCTAAATAACTCCCTATAGAACGCAATCACCATTCACCTCTCAGAGTTTCCAAATGCATAGTTCTCTCGAAAATCAGAACCACATTTTCTCACTTGCAGCCTCCCAAAGTCTCTATCATTCTCTAGAGAGCTTTTGGAGATCTTCCTCTCTGGTCATTCTGAGTCCCAAGTGCCTTCTCTTTCAGTGTCCTTGTGTCCTGCTGGGTTGCAGCCCAAGGAGGATTTCTTTGCTTTCATAGTCAACAGAGGCAAAATTACCAAAGCCTGTAGTGCCTGGGGATGGATAGGATAGCTGCTGGGATAGGAAAAGCCTACCAGTTCAGAAGTGGATCACACAGTAGAGACTTGAAACATTATCTCAAATACCCAGAAATTCTAAACCCTTCTTATTTAAAATAATTGGAAGACCCTGGCTTTTCCTGTGAATCTTTATTCTTTATCCTACTGTGTCATAGAAAAAAATTCACATAAGCTTTTGTATTTCTCTCATCTAACCCAGTGCCTGAACAGAATACTCATTCTTAAGCACTGCATACGAATTCACAAAATAGCTGTTAGCAAGATGAGTCCATGATAACGGTACTTGCTACACAAGCCTGACGATGTGAGTTCAAGCCCCAAAACCCATGTGAGAATGGAAGAAGAGAACTGACTCCACAAAGTTGTTCTCCTATGTACACATAGACAGACAGACAGACACACACACACACACACACACACACACATACACACACACACTTTTTTTTGTTACTTTTTTTTTTCTTTTCCAACAAGAATTCACAAGAATTGTGGGGCTAGCGAATACAGCCCCAGGTAAAATGCCTGCCTTGCAATCATGAAGTCCCGGATTCAGTCCCCAGTGTTACATAAAGTTAAGTGTGGTGATGCACACCTGCGATCCCAGCAGTCAGGGAGTACAGACTGCAGGATCAGAAGTCCATCAATGGTATTGCAAGTTTGAAGCCAGTCTGGGATACATGAGAACCAGAGTGGAGGGGAGGGGAGG